AGGACAGTGGTAGTCGAAATTCAGACTGGAATTCTTTTAAACACCGATTTCCCATTATCCGTTGGATTAGAACATCCACTTCTATTGTAGGACGTCAATGGCCCGAATAATTTTGCAAACTTTATGCTAATTAAGCTGCATCAGACGAAGTAAAAATCGCCTGTGAAAGTGACAGTTGGATGATCCGAGAAGGAACTGATAGCCATTTTAGGGCAGATATACGACAACTTTGTCTGACTAGGTAAATAACGTTAGCAGAACTAAGGCATAGACTGATGGGTCACTCTGTTTCATGTGTTTGATATCAGCCCACTTGCAATTAAATAGAAAGGACCCAACGTTAAACATGTAACATTTAAACTGGTCACTGAAACAAAGTATTTCGAAAATCATCGTCCAGAACGGTTGTGTGGCTTCAATGTCACCTCCGTTGATCGTCTTGAGCGGGTCAGAAACACAGACTCAGTTAGTTTGTCTAGCTACCAGCGAGGAATTCATGACCGTATGACTGCAGCTCACTTTACACTCAAATGACCTTGCTCCAGAAGCTCAACTTGAAATGATGATGACATTTTGATTCCTCTTTAAGTGATCCACTTTTGTCTTCGAACATGCGTTTGGTTCGTTAAACTTTGGTTGACACGCGCGCATTTTGATTTCGCTTATTTCAATGTGATATGGGATCACTCTGAAAAGTCCACCAAAGATGCCGATAATGTGCTGTTTCAAACAAATGAACCAGTTTGAGGACGAATGCCACTCAGTTTTGGTTATCGGGAATAGGATTTTTCCAACTAGACCTAGCTAGGAGTAGTCAAAATAGCTTCTTCGAACAACCTCATCTCAAAATCCAAGCCACACCAGCCTTTTTGGGTACTCGAAGGTTTGATTCGGTTGGGGTGTGCGAATGATGAAAGGTAATGGTGAGATATACCTGAGAAAGGTTGCTAAGGGTCGAAATTAGGCGTGGAACTGTTTGTAATGTGGCTAACAACATGTGTGTTGTGTTGTATGAGCTTAGAAGTGACTTTGGGAGGATGGTGTGACTCACATTGCGGATCCGATGGCCAAAAATGGCGCAAAACCATGTAGTTTCTGACGACATCTGAGTTTGAGGTATATTCAGCTTTGCCCCCTATGCACAAAAGCTAATTGTGGATTGCCGAATGCCGTAGTTTACGACAACAAAACGTTTCCGTACCCAAGTGGAGGATGTCATTCGGTCATAGAGCGTCGAAGAGATTTGACTTGGTTCACTTAAACTAGCGAATTCCAATGAGATTGGCCCCCGCACTTCTCGATCCAAAGCTTTACTGTATGCCAAAAAAGAATCCCGATACAACGTTGAATAACCGCTGTGTCCACGTGACTAACCCCTTCCTAGGGACAAGAAAACTTTCATTTTGTGGAGTTTGACACTGATATGTCAACGGGAATATGCATGCCTAACGGTTTCCGGTTCCTGCCTGCGGTCTGTGGATTATTTGTTGGGCTCCACCAATGCTTTTGACTCTAATAAAAGATAAACACCATCGGCCACCCTGGAAAAATATGGCTTTCATGAGATCTTTGCCTATATCCGCTAGGTTTTTTTTAACTAAGGCCGAAGTCGTTTGTGGGACCACGTACCCACACCAACCGAGTTCTCGATTGATATGAAAGTAAAATGGTTGCATCTTAGCTAGCGATTATCCATTTTTCTCTCCGGTTGCAATTGACATCCCTTTCTTTCACAGGAAATCAAATTAACTTTAGACAAACTGATGTTTATTTGCACGCTATTCATCGACGTCTTGTGATTGAGCCACTTCCGGCCAATAAACTCACTCCAGATGTCAGCCTCGTGATTTAGCTATCATTTGGGAATATATTGCCTACAATATAAGCAAATAATAAGCGAAATAAACTGGAGAAATGAAAGAGAAAACAGGACATTCTCAACGTAAAATAGACATCCTTGACTTTGTGATTTCAGACGCGGACCGCTTCAGATCCAGTTTAGAAGCTAAGTAGTTTCACATTCCATAAGGTGGAATGCTGGTCGTGAGAAAACAAAATATTTGAACATGACATGTAAACGTTTAATTGTATGAAAAAAACGTCTCGGAGGGAAGTACTTTCGGATATTCTGTTTGGTTGACAGGAAGTACTTTCGGATATTCTGTTTGGTTTCCACAGATCACGAATGATATCATAGCACGGAGAGTATTAAGCTACCTCTGTTAAAAAATAAACATACACAGTCGAGTTTTTGCGATCAAATTTACATCAGTTTTGATTTTTAACGCAACCATGTTCCTTCCTTTTTAAGAAATATTACGCCGGCCATTTCAATCATTCTTTAATGTAGTCTGACTAAAATTGTAAAACCACAACATCAAAGGAAATCTTCACTCCATAACATCCACCTAAGAACGACCAATACGTACTTAAAAATCAGTCAGAAACGTTTACCCTATATCTGAGTTTGTCCCATTTAATTTTGTGCTCGTGAGGGAAACGTTTTTTTAAAAGGAAGAGGACACTTATCACTGTTTCCTTTTCTAGACAACGGCCGCATTCAGAACACACGAGAAGCTCCGTTACATGAATGTCACTTGTTCCATGGACAAGGCACACACTGATAGCAGTGGAGAAGTCTTCGCAAATCTTCACATGCGCCTGCCGCTAGATGAGCTGAAATCATACGATGTGAAGTACGAGGGAACGGCTTTGACAGAAACGATAAGTTCTCTGGTGGTGGCTTACAAACCGAAAAAGCAGTTTCGAATCGGGGCGAATGCAAGGGCTTTCGGTAAGTAAGACTTAACCGTCCACACTAAACCGTCGGGCTACAAATTTTACTCCTTCCACGGGTACAATAAAAATTACTGTTGTAAATTTATTAGTGGAAACCGAAACCTACGTCATTGTCATCCCGAGACACTTGGGTTTTGCAGATGGTTTTCATCAAGCCTGAGTTTTCGCATGAAATTTTCCGTTCTACGCCACTGAATACAATATTCCGGCGCATATCTCGTGTTGGTACCATGATTTCTGCTCTGTTGTCTTGGTCTACATCCTTCTGTTTAGTCTGATAATTATGCCGTCTACTAACAGATGAAATCCAAGTAACCAAGGTGACATGGCGACGCACGTTGGTAGCGTTTGCGTCTGTTAGTAACGTTCCGTCACCAGTATACATCCAACGTCCGCCTAGCCTAATGGTCGAGGGTCGCTTTATTGAGTTCATCTTTTTGTTACCAGAGGAACGGAGAATGGTTTTGCTTTAAAATGAATATATAGTAAAGTTCAAGATGATTTTTCGATCTAACTGGCACACAACTTTTGGTGTTTCCTTGATAGTTTGGTAGATTACAGGTTTTTTGAGGGATGAAGAGGATTGAGTCGACAATCAATCGTGGACTGGATTGTTTAACAAAATCAACCGATAGCCACCGATAGCCAGAAGACATTTCAATTTCGGATACCCAGTGGAGTGGCGCAATTCTTTTGGAAAATAACGCGTGAACCTGCTGGGTTCTCGTGTTTGTGACGGTCAGTTGCAACGGCGGATACAAAAATAGCTACAAATGAGGGTACAGTAGTAAAGTGCAGTATTTTGTTTACACCCACCTGACTCCAGGCTTACTGAGAAAACTAAAATTAACCAAGCGAGGCTCGCTGTGCCTTATCTATTGGAATATTTTGCAGAGGATAAAGATTGGTTTTAGTTTGAGAACAGTCAGTGATTACGTGCCTACTATGTTGCTTAAATTTGCTGCCCTTTAATTTCACAGTATTCAAGATTGGTGCAGCGAACAACAACGGCATTTGCAAGTGGCTGACAGTATTCCTGGCCTTCATACTAGTAAACAATTTGTTGTCGCTGGTATTCTGAAAGGAAACACGCAGGCAAGTTAACAAAATGACCCATTTGTCGCTCGACCTAGTATGTTTCATTCATTGAACTCAAAGCCGCACAATGATATCAATTTATAACACACCATGTTTAGCTAAAACAATGGGCCGATCGCTCGTTCGCTTTTTTAGCGAAATAATTAGGAGAACATTCAAATGGAACTCCATTTAGTTAAGAAAATATTACCTGTAAGTAAAGGTATGCATCTGTATTTGGTATCCCAGTTAGCAAAAGGTAGACCATTCGGAAATTATTCGCAATTTCTGGTAGCCTAAGACAATGCTTATCGTTCAGTAAGGTAGTTTGAATTCGGACCTCTTACCTTTACCAAAGGTGTGAAATTCGCTGCGGGAGAAGTGGGTCTCCTTACAGAGCCCGGCGATCGGGCGGTAGACGGCTGATGATGAGACGTTTGTGATTGAGCCACCAAAGTTTGCACAACTGCACCACCTATATTGGCTAATGTTAGTTAACTACATACTACTTCATTGTGTCAGGAAAATGTGTTGGAATTTTTGAGCTGATTTTCTCAGCCCTGTAAACCTCAGTTCGTTGAGACGTTCATCCTCGTAAAATGATTAGCTATAGGGGTCGTAATGTATTCTCATATCACAACATTTGACGTGAAGGATTCTCCCAGGCCTCAACTTTCTCAGGATTATATATACGGATGCTTTCATTTCAGGGGAAACAAAACCACGTTTCTGGTTATGAAACAATGCGCAGCTTCCCTTCAGCGACCAGAATATTATTCACGGTGACTGGTAATATACTGTTTTGGTTTGTTGCATCTTAAAGTGACATTATTGCATTTTTAAAAGATTTGCTGTGTGAAAGCTAACAGTGCAGCTTTGTTGACTGCTTCAATATTAGTTCATTTGTTGCCACCTCAATCTTTTACAAAAGTTGCCTCGCTGCGCGACAGTACAATCTGTAAACAATGCGGTCTATTTTATATCCACCACTTTCTTTTTTATCTTATCTCTGAGAGGGCCGGAGCTTCTTCGACAAAACCGTTAACAACAACCAGATTAAACGTTCGTATAATCTGTTAGTTACCTAGGGTTCCTGAGATCCCATCACACTTGATTTGTGCATGAATATCAAATCGGACGATTTGGAAGCACCAACTTCTTGCAAATCAAGTCGCTGTTAACGGGTAGACCTAACTTGAGAATCTGATATGATTTAGAGAGGAGCTAGTGTCTATCCAGGTACCACGCACAATAGAACCATCGTTGTGCACCCTCAACAAATGCCTCTTCGCTGCTGGGAACATCTTTGTTTTTTCAGTCTGAGAAAGGAGGAAGAATGGGGCTATATCACAGTCAGACTATTAACTGATTCTCAGGCAATAAAAACGCGGTGTTTCATGAGTACGAGTGAAAACTGGAACAAGGTCCATCTGATACTTTTGTAAGTTTGCATCAAGTTCACCCACACAGAATGTTCACAAGGAAGGCGCAAGTTTTAATCACAGAAACTACTCACATGATGTAGTCAGATTTGTCCTTATCGGAACTGCAATTACACGAAATGTGTGGGTTTACTGAATGACTCAAAATGAAGGAGAATGATTAGTTTTCCATGGAACCTTCAAGAACTTGCACAGCTTTCTAGATCTCGGACCGTGTACAGTAAGTCAGCTATTGAAGAATTGTTTCCTAGTGCAGATTCTTCATTCAGAGAAGCTGAAAACTCCAATTTACTTGTTTTTTACTCAAAAGACGACTTAAGATTTTGAGCACTGCTTGTGGGAGGAGCCTGCCTAACACACTGCTAATGTTTTAGGTCATGCAAAATTCCGTCTGATCATTCTAACTTGGTTCTCCCCTGGCTAGGTTAAGTCATGTATAACACAGTTGTCTCCCCTAATGCTGCACTTTCTGTTGTATATCATCCGAAATGTGACGATTATTTATCCATTTCCTTTTTTATGTACGGTATTCTGACAATTTGTCTTCACCACTGGTTTTGTTTTGTCTACATAAGGATAAATGTTTTGAAGTATAAATGAGCTAGCTGATACATTATTCGAGCCGGGTCTTCATAAATTACTAATGCTAAAAATACCCTTTAATACCTATTCTAAATCAGTGCACATGCACCTGCCTGTACACATGTAGAATATTAGATCTAGGGGTCGAAGGTGGAATGTAATAAGTGCGGTGGTTGCCAAATAAAACAACAGATAGCTTTTGTGCGTCCCATTCAGTTGGATAATATCACAAAGAAGAGATTCAGTTGAGTCTTCCATGAACGAAAATATAGTTTTCCAGCGCCTGGATTTAGTCCACTGGCTAGGGCTTGTCGACCAAATGCATTGTGGAGCTGACTTGAGCCCGGACGCAACCCTTACCTCGGGAAACCGAGCATAAGCAAAACCATTCGCGGGATTACCGTTCGTAGCAGAATCAGAAGTGTTGAAATATATTAAGAAAATGTTATTTGCTAACCCGAATGTGGTGGTTTTGTGTAACTCGTCCGGGGGCATCACAATCGAAATATTTAATTGAATCTTACGCTGTAGTTCCTCATTTGCGACCAGTTCGGTGAATAACTTGAACGTATGGTTGTATGGAGCTTGTAAGCCGTTACCGAGTTGGGGGAGCCATGTGACTGTTGTGATTACGCTAAAAGATTATCTTGGAACTATTTCTTTCAAGCTTTGCAAAATTTTCCACAAGTAGAGAAAGGGGGAATCTTTAAGATATGATGCTCAGCCAGCAAAATACAACGAAAGACCAGAACTTATACGGAAATCCCACATTAGTGTAGTTGTCATTCACCATGCAATAAACCCACGCAGCTCGCACGCATATTCCGCGGTACTGTCTGCGCCTGATAATCTACATGTGTTTGTTCTCTGTACTACTTGTTAGGTGCGTCTACATTTGTTCGCAAATGTTCACGTATACTCTCCATATTTCTTTGACGTTTGTCACAGATCTCTTATGTCTTTCTCCCCTCTATGAAACATTTGGTTTGAAACGGAGGCCAACGCAACTGTCCACAGTAGCTCACCGACTCACTCCACCATTTTATCTCTGGTACTCTTTATGTTAAAAACTGGGCTGTTTTAGAGTTGGATTAGCTTTTTCCGAGTTCTCATCCGCCAGTTATCACAATCCTTTTTTCTGTCATTGCCCAATATCCAAAGTGGGAATTTTTCTACCATTTTTTCTAAATTTGGGTTTACCTAAAGCCGAACAGCAGCAAAGTAGGCTGCTTTACTAAAACCGCGTTGGATGAATTTGTGCCACAAATGAACTTCTCTGGAAGGACTAAGGTACGAAGGATCCGTGCAATGGGCTTGCTTGCGTTTGAGCACCAATCAGTAATATGACATAACAAACCAGACCGGGATTTCCTCCCGGATGCCTTGCTATATCAACACACGTTTCCAGTTGTAAGGAAAAGCGCAACGGCCTTATTAACAGGTTGCTGGCTTCACTTCCACAGTTAATAAACACCAGCTCGTAGATGCGCATAAAATGCTATTTATCGGGTAATAAAACAGCCATCCACATTATGCTCTTTTAAACCGTGAAGTTTAAAGAGAACGTTTGTAGCTCAGGCGCCATAGAAAGTCATCGGTCCGTTCGCTGGTTTGGGCAATTTGACTGAAACCGTTTCGTCAGCAATCGAGTTGACATGCTGCCATCTGGGATTGGCATTCAATTGTGAGTGGTTGTCCAGTCGAGATAACAAAACAACCGGAACTGTGACTTTTTTCTCCGTCAACGTTAGCCCTGATGCGCACAAATTCATGTCCACCAAGTTTGTTTTGGTTATGCCGTCATCCTCTTCGGAAGTGCTTGTTAAAGCAGCGGGACAGTCAATGATTATCTCATGTGTAAACGATCGGACGATCCTTCAACTATATCTCTTCTCGAGAAAACATTGAGTGAGACGACTGGATAATATGCTATCAGTGACTCTCTTAAAGTGTTTGGCAATAAGCCAAGGCTAAAGCTCTGGGTCTCTTGAGAATGATAGGAAGCGCGCATCTCACGAAGCGACAAAGGGAATTCAACACATGAATTACCCTTCAGAATTCGAGAAGTATGTTTTTCGGACACGAGATCCACAAGATACGCAAAATTGGTGATTCATAACAAGGCCGAAACAGCTCTACAGCCATTCTCTGCTCTTCAACACGGGTTGAATTAAACCAAACAAAGAGTCCTCGTTTAAAATATCTGAATCACTCGAGATCATCAAAATCTTCCGTGTGCTTTCTGTGCACCTGGAAATCCTTACATAGGAGCAGTGTGAAGACTTCACTTCAAAAACAGAGTATGCCAAATAACCCGTAAATATCCTTGGAAGAAAATAAAACTTTGACGTCTCAAAATGCTTTAGGCTTCTAAGAGTTGCTCACCGGTTTTCCTGTGTGGTAAATAACTCGCTGTTCTTCCTGTTACATAGTTCTCAGAAAGAATTAGGGTCAGCCTGACAGCAGTTTTGTAGTTTAGGTAGAGCAGATATATAACACGACAAAACTGGAGCACAGATACAGTCAGGGTTACTAGTCAACTTTACGATGTATCATACATCATGTATGATGAAATCTTTGTATAGATTTTCCGCAGCACAACAAAAACCTTGTGATAAAATGCAAGTATTTTTAGCGCCATCATTTGCCTACAGGGTTCACCTTGGAACTATGTCCTCCTTACTGGCTGGCTGATAACAGTTAATTTTTCAAGCACACATGCTTGGATTTTAGGATTTACAATTCAGGACGAAGTTATGAACAGCGGTGTCCTTGTTCAGTCGAGCCTATCGGATTTACCCCGATTAGGCTAAGTTTTGTTGTGGCATCAAAATCTATGTTATCAGAGGGACCACAGCTGCTTAAAGTACCTTTGTACAAACCAATGCTATCTGGCTACAACGGCAGTACCGCTTATTCAGCAGTAAGATGTTACAACTGCAAAACTCGGTTTGAGAACCAAAAACACGTTTCCACCAAC